AATGGGGCGAGGTGTTGGTAAGCGGGAGAATGGGGCGGGGTGATGGAAAGCGGAGAAATGGGGCGGGGTGATGGAAAGCGGGAGAATGGGGAGGGGTGATGGAAAGCGGGAGAATGGGGCGGGTGATGGAAAGCGGGAGAATGGGGCGGGGTGATGGTAAGCGGAGAATGGGGCGGGGTGATGGAAAGCGGGAGAATGGGGCCGGGGTGATGGAAAGCGGGAGAATGGGGCGGGGTGATGGAAAGCGGGAGAATTGGGCGGGGTGATGGAAAGCGGGAGTATGGGGCGGGGTGATGGAAAGCGGGAGAATGGGGCGGGGTGATGGGAGAATGGGGCGGGGTGATGGAAAGCGGGAGAATGGGGCGGGGTGATGGAAAGCGGGAGAATGGGGCGGGGTGATGGAAAGCGGGAGAATGGGGCGGGGTGATGGAAAGCGGGAGAATGGGGCGGGGTGATGGAAAGCGGGAGAACGGGCGCGGTTATGGAAAGCGGGAGAATGGGGCGGGGTGATGGAAAGGGGGAATCAAGCGGGGTGATGGAAAGCAGGAGAATGGGCGGGGTGATGGAAAGCGGGAGAATGGGGCGGGGTGATGGAAAGAGGGAGAATGGGGCGGGGTGATGGAAAGAGGGAGAATGGGGCCGGGGTGATGGAAAGCGGGAGAATTGGGCGGGGTGATGGAAAGCGGGAGAATGGGTCGGGATGATGGGAAGCGGGAAAATGGGGCAATGTGATGGAAAGCGGGAGAATGGGGCGGGGTGATGGAAAACGGGAGAATGGGGCGTGGTGATGGAAAGCGGGAGAATGGGGCGGGGTGATGGGAGAATGGGCAATGTGATGGAAAGCGAGAGAATGGGGCGGGGTGATGGAAAGCGGGAGAATGGGGCGGGTGATGGAAAGCGGGAGAATGGGGCGGGGTGATGGAAAGAGGGAGAATGGGGCGGGTGATGGAAAGCGGGAGAATGGGGCGGGGTGATGGAAAGCGGGAGAATGGGGCGGGGTGATGGAAAGCGGGAGAATTGGGCGGGGTGATGGAAAGCGGGAGAATGGGGCGGGGTGATGGAAAGCTGGAGAATGGGGCGGGGTGATGAAAGCGGGAGAATGGGGCGGAGATGGAAAGCGGAGAATCAAGCGGGGTGATGGAAAGCGGGAGAATGGGGCGGGGTGATGGAAAGCGGGAGAATGGGGCGGGTGATGGAAAGCGGGAGAATGGGGTTGGGTCATGGAAAGCGGGAGAATGGGGCGGGGTGATGGAAAGCGGAAGAATGGGGCGGGGTGATGGAAAGCGGCAGAATGGGGCGGGGTGATGGAAAGCGGGAGAATGGGACGGGGTGATGGGGGCCGGGAGAATGGGGCGGGGTGATGGAAAGCGGGAGAATGGGGCGGGGTGATGGAAAGCGGGAGAATGGGGCGGGGTGATAGAAAGCGGGAGAATGGGGCGGGGTGATGAAAAGCGGGAGAATGGGGCGGGGTGATGGTAAGCCGGAGAATGGGGCGGGGTGATGGAAAGCGGGAGAATGGGGCGGGGTGATGGAAAGCGGGAGTATGGGGCGGGGTGATGGAAAGCGGGAGAATGGGGCGGGGTGATGGAAAGCGGGAGTATGGGGCGGGGTGATGGAAAGCGGGAGAATGGGGCGGGGTGATGGGAGAATGGGGCGGGGTGATGGAAAGCGGGAGAATGGGGCGGGGTGATGGAAAGCGGGAGAATTGGGCGGGGTGATGGAAAGCGGGAGAAGGGGGCGGGGTGATGGAAAGCGGGAGAATGGGGCGGGGTGATGGAAAGCGGGAGAACGGGGCGGGGTGATGGAAAGCGGGAGAATGGGGCGGGGTGATGGAAGGGGGAGAATCAAGCGGGGTGATGGAAAGTGGGAGAATGGGGCGGGGTGATGGAAAGCGGGAGAATGGGGCGGGGTGGTGGAAAGAGGGGAATGGGGCCGGGGTGATGGAAAGAGGGAGAATGGGGCGGGGTGATGGAAAGCGGGAGAATGGGGAGGGGTGTGGATTGCGAGAGAATGGGGCGGGGTGATGGAAAGCGGGAGAATGGGGCGGGGTGATGGAAAGCGGGAGAATGGGGCGGGGTGATGGAAAGCGGGAGAATGGGGCGGGGTGATGGAAAGCGGGAGAATGGGTCGAGTGATGGAAAGCGGGAGAATGGGGCGGGGTGATGGAAAACGGGAGAATGGGGCGGGGTGATGGAAAGCGGGAGAATGGGGCAGGGTGATGGAAAGCGGGAGAATGGGTCGGGAGATGGAAAGCGGGAGAATCAAGCGGGGTGATGGAAAGCGGGAGAATGGGGCGGGATGATGGAAAGCGGGAGAATGGGGCGGAGTGATGGAAAGCGGGAGAATAGGGCGGGGTGATGGAAAGAGGGAGAATGGGGTGGGGTGATGGAAAGCGGGAGAAGGGGGCGGGGTGATGGAAAGCGGGAGAATGGGGCGGGGTGAGGGAAAGCGGGAGAATGGGGCGGGGTGATGGGAGAATGGGGCAATGTGATGGAAAGCGGGAGAATGGGGCAAGGTGATGGAAAGCGGGAGAATGGGGCGGGTGATGGAAAGCGGGAGAATGGGGGGCGGGTGATGGAAAGCTGGAGAATGGGGCGGGGTGATGGAAAGCGGGAGAATGGGGCGAGGTGATGGAAAGCGGGAGAATGGGGCGGGGTGACGGAAAGCGGGAGAATGGGGCGGGGTGATGGAAAGCGGGAGAATGGGGCTGGTGATGGAAGCGGGAGAATCACGGGTGATGGAAAGCAGGAGAATGGGGGCGGGGTGATGGAAAGTTGGAGAGGGGGCGGGGTGATGAAAGCGCGAGAATGGGGCGGGGTGATGGAAAGCGGGAGATGGTGGGGGCGGGTGATGGAAAGCGGGAGAATGGGGCGGGTGATGGAAAGCGGGAGAATGGGGCGGGGTGATGGAAAGCGGGAGAATGGGTCGGGGTGATGGAAAGCGGGAGAATTGGGCGGGGTGATGGAAAGCGGGAGAATGGGGCGGGGTGATGGAAAGCGGGAGAATGGGGCGGGGTGATGGAAAGTGGGAGAATGGGGCGGGGTGATGGAAAGCGGGAGAATGGGGCAGGGTGATGGAAAGTGGGAGAATGGGCGGGTGGTGATGGGAGAATGGGGCGGGGTGATGGAAAGCGGGAGAATGGGGCGGGGTGATGGAAAGCGGAGAATGGGGCGGGGTGATGGAAAGCGGGAGAAAGGGGCGGGGTGATGGAAAGCGGGAGAATGGGGCGGGGTGATGGAAAGCGGAGAACGTGGCGGGTGATGGAAAACGGGAGAATGGGGCGGGGTGATGGAAAGGGGGAGAATCAAGCGAGGTGATGGAAGCAGAGAATGGGGCGGGGTGATGGAAAGCGGGAGAATGGGGCGGGGTGATGGAAAGAGGGAGAATGGGGCGGGGTGATGGAAAGAGGGAGAATGGGGCGGGGTGATGGAAAGCGGGAGAATTGGGCGGGGTGATGGAAAGCGGGAGAATGGGTCGGGGATGAGGAAGCGGGAGAATGGGGCGGGGTGATGGGAGAATGGGGCGGGGTGATGGAAAGCAGGAGAATGGGGCGGGGTGATGGAAAGCGGGAGAATGGGGCTGTTGATGGAAGACTCGGGAGAATGGGGCGGGGTGATGGGAGAATGGGGCAAATGTGATGGAAAGCGGGAGAATGGGGCGGGGTGATGGAAAGCGGGAGAATGGGGCGGGTGATGGAAAGCGGGAGAATGGGGCGAGGTGATGGAAATGGGGCAATGTGATAGAATGCGGGAGAATGGGGCGGGTGATGGAAAGCGGGAGAATGGGGCGGGGTGATGGAAAGAGGGAGAATGGGGGCGGGGTGATGAAAGCGGGAGAAGTGGGGCGGGGGATGGAAAGCAGAGAATGGGGTGGGGTGATGGAAAGCGGGAGAATGGGGCGGGGTGATGGAAAGCGGGAGAATGGGGCGGGGTGATGGAAAGCTGGAGAATGGGGCGGGGTGATGGAAAGCGGGAGAATGGGGCGGGTGATGGAAAGCGGGAGAATGGGGCGGGGTGATGGAAAGCGGGAGAAGGGCGGGGTGATGGAAAGCGGGAGAATGGGGCGGGGTGATGGAAAGCGGGAGAATGGGGTGGGGTGATGGAAAGCGGGAGAATGGGGCGGGGTGATGGAAAGCGGGAGAATGGGGCGGGTGATGGAAAGCGGGAGAATGGGGTGGGGTGATGGAAAGCGGGAGAATGGGGCGGGGTGATGGAAAGCTGGAGAATGGGGGGGGATGGGAAAAGCGGGAGAATGGGGCGGGGTGATGGAAAGCGGGAGAATGGGGCGGGGTGATGGAAAGCGGGAGAATGGGGCGGGTGATGGAAAGCGGGAGAATGGGGCGGGGTGATGGAAAGCGGGAGAATGGGGCGTGGTGATGGAAAGCGGGAGAATGGGGCGGGGTGATGGAAAGCGGGAGAATGGGGCGGGGTGATGGAAAGCGGGAGAATGGGGCGGGGTGATGGAAAGCGGGAGAATGGGGCGGGGTGATGGAAAGCGGGAGAATGGGGCGGGGTGATGGAAAGCGGGAGAATGGGGCGGGGTGATGGAAAGCGGGAGAATGGGGCGGGGTGATGGAAAGCGGGAGAATGGGGCAGGGTGATGGAAAGCGGGAGAATGGGGCGGGGTGATGGTGTCAGAGATAATGGACAGGAATGATGGACTAGAAAGGATTGTGAGTACAAATATGAAACCCTAATGTTGTGACCCCCTATAGGCTAACCCACTACAGCCTACACAAATACAACATATATAATGTTTGACACACCCCCATAGGCAAAGTGGGGGAGAACTAGGGGTCACAAGACCAGTCAAGGCAAAGCAAGGCAACAACAAGCTCAGGGTGGATCTCAAGGATTCCACACAAATTCCGAGCACAAGCTAGTGGTCACAAGACCAGTTCACATGCAGATTTATAACAGAGCAAGAGATACAGTGATCACAACCTAGCAAGAGTAAACATGCAGGTAGATATATATATAGTGATCACAGTACAAGCAAGGTCAAGAGGTAAGTAAGTGAGGTCCAGTAGGCACAAGGCCTAGCAGAGTGCAGAAGCGCTGATGGTCACAAGGCGGAAGCGCCTTGGTGAACACATCAGCAAGGTTGGCCTCAGTGGCCACGTAACGCAGACAAAGCTGACCGCGCTGCTGCAGCTCTCGAGCAAGGAAGTACCGCAGGGCGATGTGCTTCGTTTTGTGCTCCAGTCTGTGCTCCTCACACAAGGCAATGGCAGCCTGGTTGTCGACGTACAGCACTGGAGGAGAACGAGGCCGCTCACCCAAGTCGGTCAGCAGGTAGGTCAGCCAGCGTAGCTCCTGGGCAGCCATGGCTGTGGCGTAGATCTCAGCCTCACAACTGGAGCTGAGAACAGAAGAAGAGCGTGTAGAACGCCAAGAAACTGAGCCGGAGCCAAGGCTGAAGGTGTAACCCTGAGACGACCGCTGAGTAGCCTGGTCGTCCGCCCAAGAAGCGTCTGAGTGTCCAGTAAGTACAACTCGGTCTCGCCCTCCAAGCACTAGCCCCATGCCCGACGTACTGCACAAGTAGCGCAACACCCTCTTAGCGGCATCCATGTGCTCCTTCCTGTGACGGCCAGGAGCGACATAGCGTGCAAGGATGCTAAGAGGGTATGCAAGGTCAGGTCGAGTGCAGGTCATCAGGTACATGAGGCAGCCCACAAGCTCTGGATACGGGCCACTCGGCTCTACGGACTCATCCGAAGGCAGAGCTGAGAGCGAGTGACCGGTAGGCAGAGGAGTGGACTGAGGCGAGGAGTACGTGAAGCGGAAGCGCTGAAGGATCTGCTGCACCATGTGTGACTGAGTCAAGGTGATGGTGCGGCGTGCTCTGTCCCGGGTGATCCGCAAGCCAAGATAGCTTGTCAGTTCACCCAGGTCTGTGCACGTGTGTCTCCTCTGCAGCTCCGACTTCACGTGGGCAAGTGCCGCGGTGTCAGCAGTGGCAAAGACCAAGTCGTCGACGTACACGAGGATGTAGAACGGCGGCAGTGAGGTGTCTGTGCGTAGAAACAGTGACGGGTCAGCAGTAGAGGGAGCGAACCCAAGAGCCGCAAGTGTCGTCCTCAGTGTGTCGTGCCACTCACGCGGTGCCTGGCGGAGACCGTAGACCGGCCGCTGAAGCCTCCACTGGGTACCAGGAGGAACCGACCCAGTGAAGCCAGGAGGGCGGCGCAGCCAGATCTCCTCGTGCAGGCTGCCCTGCAAGAAAGCAGTGCTGAAGTCAAGTGAGTGAAGCTCGTAGTCGCGCTGAGCGGCTATGTGCAGCAGCACCCGAAGAGTGGTCATCTTCGGGGTGGGGGAGAAAGTCTGAAAGAAGTCAACTCCCTCTCGCTGACTGAAGCCTCGAGCCACGTAGCGCGCCTTGAAGACAGGGGGAGAACCCGGTGGCCGCTTCACCCTGAAAATCCACATGCCACTGACGATGTTCGCCCCAGGTGGGGGAACCTCGTCGACGTAGGTGCGTGTGGACTTCCAGGAAGCCATCTCTGCGTCCATGGCTGTCTGCCACTGAGAGGAGTAGGGACCCGCCATCGCCTCAGCGTAAGTGCGCGGGGTCGGGATGTCTGGTGCATCCGGGTCTCCCTCAGGGGCAACTAGCATGGACACGAGGTGGGGCAAAGTAGCAGCAAAGCACTGGAACTCCTCCTGTCTGTCCTCAAGGACGTCCGTGCCAAGAGCACACTCACCCCCGACGGACGGAGGACAGACAGACTCAGACTCAGCAACAAGGCTAGTGGCGTAGTCTAGACGACACCGGGCAGCAAAGTCTATCAACTCAGCGACCAGAGCAGACGCAGCAGAGGACGCAAAGGTAGGGTCAGTGACAACAGTAGCAAGAAGACGCGTGACAGTGGGACTGGCAGCACGACGGGAGTCAGACTCCGGGTCAGGAAGAGTAGGCAGAGAGGACGCAGGAGGAGACGGTAGCGGGACACGCTGAGGAGCAGTGGAGGGACGCAGAGTCATGTAGTGAGTGCCAGGGACAGGAGGAGGACGCTCACGTGGGACACGACGACCAGTGCGAGCAGTACGAACAGGCGACGCAGGACGAGACTCAGGCTCACGACGCTCTGTAAGACCTCCTGTGGGACCAGTGTAAGGAGAGGGAGCAGGGAGAGGCGAGGCAGGCGGGAACTGTGACTGCGACTGGACAGGTGGAGGACACTCTACGGAGGGAGGAGGACAAGGAGGAGGAGTCTGACCAAGAACCTGCTGAAGAAGTGGTACGAAGTACGGTCGCGGCCGCGTAGCGTCTCCAGAACCAGCAGAGACACCAGCGGCAGGGTCCTCAGCACCAGCAGCAGCTCCAACGTCCGGGTCCTCAACACCAGCAGCAGCTCCACCGTCCGGGTCCTCAGCACCAGTAGCAGCTCCAACGTCCGGGTCCTCAACACCAGCAGCAGCTCCAACGTCCGAGTCCTCAGCACCAGCAGCAGCGCCACCGCCCGGGTCCTCAGCACCAGCAGCAGCTCCAGCGCCCGGGTCCTCAGCACAAGCAGCAGCGCCACCGCTCGGGTCCTCAGCACCGGTAGCAGCTCCAACGCCCAAGTCCTCAGCACCAGCAGCAGCCCCAACGCCCGGGTCCTCAGCACCAGCAGCAGCGCCACCCCCTAAACCCTAAACCCGGAGGACCACTCCGAAGACTGCAGCGGCGTGTGTACCACTCTCGGATCTGCTGAATGGGGGGGAGCTCCTGGGTAGGAGGGGAAGTACCGGGACGAGCTCCAGCAGCACCTCTCCGGAGGCGGCAGTACTCGAGGTACCTCTCCTGCAGCTGCTGGGAGGAGAGGGCTCCTCCAGGTGTAGCACGCTCAGTCTCAGCACCCCCAGACTCAGCACCTCCAGGCTCCGCACCGCCAGGCTCCGCACCTCCAGGCTCAACACCCCCAGGCTCCGCACCCCCAGACTCAGCACTCCCAGGCTCAGCACCCCCAGACGCAGCACCCCCAGGCTCAGCACCCCCAGACGCAGGACGAGAGTCAACAGCTACCTCGACAGGCTCACCCGGGTCTACCTGGGACACACCTGAGGGAGCGGCACCCTGAGGGGGGAGGGGGTCTGGTACCTCAGCACCTGGAGCGAGGAAGAGAGGCGGGGGGGGGGAGCGGGGCAGTGCGGTAGGGGAAGAGGCGGTAGTAGGGGACGGACTCGTCAAAAGTGACGTCCTGAGAGGCCAGGACACGACGCGAGGTGGGGTGGTAGAACTGCCAACCAGGGGCATCCGGGACAAAGCCAAGGAAGACGCAGGGGACAGCGCGACGGGAGAGCTTGTCCGCGGACGTGTCGCGGACAAAAGCTCGGGATCCCCAGACCCGAAAACGCGACGCATCGCCAGCCTCTCCCGTCCAACGCAGTGTCGGAGAAGTCTCGGGCAAGGAGACACGGGGCCAGAGGTTGAGCTGATGCGCAGCGTATCGGACCGCAAACGGCCACAGAAAATGGGGGGCAGCCGCATGACTCAAGGAGGTACGAGCGACCTCCATGACTAGACCAATGCGGCGCTCAGCAACCCCATTCTGCTGTGGAGAGGCCGGAAGCGTGAACGACTGCTCAATGCCCTCCTGCTGACAGAAGGCCTCCAGGAGGCCAGAGGAAAACTCTCCACCTCTGTCAGAGTGCAGACGCAGGACAGGAAAGTCGGAGCGGAAACGCCTGGTGAGCTGGAGACGAGATCTGCGGATCCAAGGGATCAAGACATCAGGTACGTCACCCTTGGCTCGCAAGGGGAAGACCGTGGTGTAGCGCGAGAAGTCGTCAACAACTAGCAGGAAGTACCGCTCCTGACCCTGTCCACGGACGCGGGCTGGGCCCCACACGTCCAAGTGGAGCGTCTGCAAGGGAGCAGTCGTCGGGGGAAAGGAGGAGGAGTGAGGAGCGGCGCGCTGCCGCCCCTCGACACAGGGAATACAGGGAGGAGCAGGCGAGTCGGGAAGGGGAGGGAGCACCCTGGGAAGACCAGCAACAAGGTCCCGTTTGTGCATGGCCCGAAGGCGCTGCACAGACGGGTGACCAAGGCGGTGGTGCCAAAGGACAGTCTCATGCGCCAGAGAGCGACACGAGCAGGGGGCGGACAGCTGACCTGACGCAGACGCAGACGTAGACGCAGCTACCTGAGGGGACTCAGTGGTCAGTGTGTACAGGTCCGACCCCGGCTCTCGAGTGAAAGTAGCCAGGTGGCGACCCGTCCGAGCACACGTGCAGTGTGTCACGCGCTCGTAGGCAGGGGTGAACTGGTGAACACCCGAGTCCTGGAGCGCACAACCCGCCACCAAGTTCGTAGAGAACGAGGGGAGGTAGAGACCTGAAAGCGTGCCGGACGGGACCGCAGGACAAGGAAGAACAGTGGAGGAGGTGGCAATGACCGGACCCCCAGAGGGGTCAGCAAGGGAGACAGCAACTGGCCGAGCGAGTGGCTCAAGGACAGTGCGGTCACGAAAGAAAGAGCGAGAGGCACCTGAGTCCAGTGTGAAGGTGTGCAGTGCTGCAGTCGACTCAGTACCAGGGGGCACGGACGCACTAGCACCTAGGGCAGCAGCCTCACCAGGACCTGTGGGAGCAGACGCACTAGCACCTAGAGCGGCAGCCGGACTGGCCTGAATGCCCGGGTCGGGCGGAACACGCAAGTACTGAGCACCCTCTCCACTAATAGACATGGCATACATGGCAGTGAGAATAGCATCAAAGTCTAGAGCCCAAATATCGACACCCCTCTTTTCCAGATCAGCCCAGCGCGGCAGCTCAGCGGCATCAGGAAACTGGGTGCGCCACGCGTCGGTAAGGCGCGAGAAACAGCGGTGCGTGGGGTGCGGCCTCCCACACTGCTGGCCGCTGCGGTCACCTGTGCGAATGACGTACGTGCAGGTAAAGCCACGCTGCGCATACCACTCACGGGCGGCCTGAAGCGTCGGGGCGGGCTGCTGACTCTGGCCTCCGCCAGTGCCTCCACGACCACCACCGCCACCACCACCGCCTCGGCCACCTCCACCCCTGCCGCCGCCACGACCACCTCCACCTCCGCTGCCGCCTCCACCCCTGCCACCGCTCCCGCCGCTGCTGTCTCCTCCCCCACTGCCGCCACTAGCCTCCCCAGTCGCGCCTCCACTCCCACCGCCTCCACCCCCACCTCCTCCGCCGCCACCCCCACCCCTGCCCCCCTGTTTGTCTGCGGCGCCCACTCGAAGCAGACGCGGTCCCGACCTTCTCAGAACCAAGAGGTCGACAGCAGCAGCAGAGGCGACAGAGGGGAGGAGGGGGGAAGGGGAACACCCCTCAAAGAACGGGGTGCGGGGGTCGCCACGAGAGGTGCCTACAACGACGATGCTCGCCTCAGCTGCAAGCAGTTCCTTCTCGAGGAGGGCAACAGTGAGCTCAGTGGGGGAGCGAGAGAGGAAGTGGTCCCTGACTGCGCGCAGAGAGTCAGGAAGGCGGGTGACGATGTGGTAGAGAGTGATCCAGAGCGGGGGGGGTTGCTAGTGAGAAACTCGGCAGGCATAGCAGCGCGAAAGCGGGCCTCACTAGTCTTAAGGTGGGTGATGAGGTCTGCGACAGTGTGAAAGGAGGCTAGGTCGGGGAACAGGTAGGGGAGAGTGAGGCGGCCTAGCGTAGCAGAAGCGGGTGAGGAGTAACGGGCAACTACAGCGGTGTAGAGGTCCTTAGCAGTCTTGCACTGGCCGAAGTGCTCGCGCTCGTCTAGCGGCAGGGAGTTGCGAATAGCAAAGCGAGCGTGCGCATCACGAGTCTGCCACTGAGAGCGTAGAGTGCTGTCAGCAGACGTGTCAGGGGCAGTAGCATGGCCTAGGGCGTGGTCGTACAGTGAGATGTCTTCCTTGGCAGTGAGCTGTAGGAACAGGTGCAGGTCATCTAGCCAGGTTTCGAACTTCACCGGACGGCCCTCGGCATCGAAAGCTAGAACAGGAGGACTAGCCATAGTGACAGTAGTAGGAGTAGGAACCAGGCCGCTGGAAAGGTGTGCGGAGGGTCAACGGGGCCGGCGGGGCCGCTAGGTAAGGCGCGGGCGGGGTCGACTGTCCGTAGTGGCACACGAGCGGCAGTAGTAGGGAGCGTGGCAGCAGGAGCTGCAACGGCGCACTGGTGGCAGCTGCAGTGGTAGCAGTGTGCGCGGTAGGTAGAAAAAACAGTGGGAGCGAGCGCCTCGCGGGCGGCGGCTGCAGAAGCGCACGGGCGGCAGTGGCGGCGAGCGGTGCACAAGTAGCAGCGGCAGCAGCACTCGGGCAGCAGCGGTGTATGTGCACGGCCAGAAGCAGTAGCGGCTTACGAGCGGCAGCGGCGCACGGGCAGCGGCGGCGCACGGGCAGCGGCGGCGCACGGGCAGCGGCAGCGTAGGGGCAGCGGCGGCGCACGGGCAGCGGCGGCGCACGGGCAGCGGCAGTGCACGTGCGGCGACGGCGGGAGGCGGCGGTGCGCAAGCAGCAGCGGAAGCAGCGCACGGGCGGCAGCTGCGTATGCGCACGTGCGGCAGTGGCAGCGGCGCACGGACGGCTGCGGGCAGCGGGGTGACGTGCGGCCTCTGCGACGGCGGGCTGCGGGCCTGCGGGGCGTGCGCGAGCAGGCGACGGGCGGCTGCAGCAGCGGGTGCGTCAGCGAGGTGCACAGGGCAGCGGCGGGCAGTGCGCGAGGCCACGAGGCGCACGGGCAGCAGCGCAAAGGCGCGCGGGCAGCGGGGAGGCAGCGTGACGGGCCGCGCGCGAAGAAAATAAAGCGCGCGCGGGCAGCTGGCGGGGCGCACGCGTGAAAACGGTCGCGCGCGGGCGGCTAGCACGGCGCGCGCGGTAAAAAAAAGGAAAGCCACGCGCGGGCGGCTAGCGAGCTGCGTGCGCGTGGTAGGTAGGTAAGGAGCGCTTTAGGGCGCGCAGGCGCACGAGGCGCACAGTAGGTAGGTAGGTAGGTAGGTGGGCCCTAAGAACAGTCCTAGCGACGTCCCTGCTCTGAAACCATGTCAGAGATAATGGAATGATGGACTAGAAAGGATTGTGAGTACAAATATGAAACCCTAATGTTGTGACCCCCCTATAGGCTAACCCACTACAGCCTACACAAATACAACATATATAATGTTTGACAGATGGGAGAATGGGGCGGGTGATGGAAAGCGGGAGAATCAAGCAGGGTGATGGAAAGCGGGAGAATGGGGCGGGGTGATGGAAAGCGGAGAATGGGGCGATGGAAAGCGGGAGAATGGGGCGGGTGATGGAAAGCGGGAGAATGGGGTGGGGTGATGGAAAGCGGGAGAATGGGGCGGGGTGATGGAAAGCGGGAGAATGGGGCGGGGTGATGGAAAGCGGGAGAATGGGGCGGGTGATGGAAAGCGGGAGAATGGGGCGGGGTGATGGAAAGCGGGAGAATGGGGCGGGGTGATGGAAAGCGGGAGAATGGGGCGGGGTGATGGAAAGCGGGAGAATGGGGCGGGGTGATGGAAAGCGGGAGAATGGGGCGGGGTGATGGAAAGAGGGAGAATGGGGCGGGGTGATGGAAAGCGGGAGAATGGGGCGGGGTGATGGAAAGCGGGAGAATGGGGCGGGTGATGGAAAGCGGGAGAATGGGGCGGGGTGATGGAAAGCGGGAGAATGGGGCGGGGTGATGGAAAGAGGGAGAATGGGGCGGGTGATGGAAAGCGGGAGAATGGGGCGGGGTGATGGAAAGCGGGAGAATGGGGCGGGGTGATGGAAAGCGGGAGAATGGGGCGGGGTGATGGAAAGCTGGAGAATGGGGCGGGGTGATGGAAAGAGGGAGAATGGGGCGGGGTGATGGAAAGCGGGAGAATGGGGCGGGGTGATGGAAAGCGGGAGAATGGGGCGGGGTGATGGAAAGCAGGAGAATGGGGCGGGGTGATGGAAAGCGGGAGAATGGGGCGGGGTGATGGAAAGCGGGAGTATGGGGCGGGGTGATGGAAAGCGGGAGAATGGGGCGGGGTGATGGAAAGCGGGAGAATGGGGCGGGGTGATGGAAAGCGGGAGAATGGGGCGGGGTGATGGAAAGCAGGAGAATGGGGCGGGGTGATGGAAAGCGGGAGAATGGGGCGGGGTGATGGAAAGCGGGAGAATGGGGCGGGGTGATGGAAAGCGGGAGAATGGGGCGGGGTGATGGAAAGCGGGAGAATGGGGCGGGTGATGGAAAGCGGGAGAATGGGGCGGGGTGATGGAAAGCGGGAGAATGGGGCGGGGTGATGGAAAGCGGGAGAATGGGGCGGGGTGATGGAAAGCGGGAGAATGGGGCGGGGTGATGGAAAGCGGGAGAATGGGGCGGGGTGATGGAAAGCGGGAGAATGGGGTGGGGTGATGGAAAGCGGGAGAATGGGGCGGGTGATGGAAAGCGGGAGAATGGGGCGGGGTGATGGAAAGCGGGAGAATGGGGCGGGGTGATGGAAAGCGGGAGAATGGGGCGGGGTGATGGAAAGCGGGAGAATGGGGCGGGGTGATGGAAAGCGGGAGAATGGGGCGGGGTGATGGAAAGCGGGAGAATGGGGCGGGGTGATGGAAAGCGGGAGAATGGGGCGGGGTGATGGGAGAATGGGGCGGGGTGATGGAAAGCGGGAGAATGGGGCGGGGTGATGGAAAGCGGGAGAATGGGGCGGGTGATGGAAAGCGGGAGAATGGGGCGGGTGATGGGAGAAGGGGGCGGGGTGATGGAAAGCGGGAGAATGGGGCGGGGTGATGGAAAGCGGGAGAATGGGGCGGGGTGATGGAAAGCGGAGAATGGGGCGGGGTGATGGAAAGCGGGAGAATGGGGCGGGGTGATAGAAAGCGGGAGAATGGGGCGGGGTGATGGAAAGCGGGAGAATGGGGCGGGGTGATGGAAAGCGGGAGAATGGGGCGGGTGATGGAAAGCGGGAGAATGGGGCGGGTGATGGAAAGCGGGAGAATGGGGCGGGGTGATGGAAAGCGGGAGAATGGGGCGGGGTGATGGAAAGCGGGAGATGGGCGGGACGGGGTGATGGAAAGCGGGAGAATGGGGCGGGGTGATGGAAAGCGGGAGAATGGGCGGGGTGATGGAAGCGGAGAATGGGGCGGGGTGATGGAAAGCGGGAGAATGGGGCGGGGTGATGGAAAGCGGGAGAATGGGGCGGGGTGATGGAAAGCGGGAGAATGGGGCGGGTGATGGAAAGCGGGAGAATGGGGCGGGGTGATGGAAAGCGGGAGAATGGGGCGGGGTGATGGAAAGCGGGAGAATGGGGCGGGGTGATGGAAAGCGGGAGAATAGGGCGGGGTGATGGAAAGAGGGAGAATGGGGCGGGGTGATGGAAAGCGGGAGAATGGGGCGGGGTGATGGAAAGCGGGAGAATGGGGCGGGGTGATGGAAAGCGGGAGAATGGGGCGGGTGATGGAAAGCGGGAGAATGGGGCGGGGTGATGGAAAGCGGGAGAATGGGGCGGGGTGATGGAAAGCGGGAGAATGGGGCGGGGTGATGGAAAGCGGGAGAATGGGGCGGGGTGATGGAAAGCGAGAGAATGGGGCGGGGTGATGGAAAGCGGGAGAATGGGACGGGGTGATGGAAAGCGGAGAATGGGGCGGGGTGATGGAAAGCGGGAGAATGGGGCGGGTGATGGAAAGCGGGAGAATTGGGCGGGGTGATGGAAAGCGGGAGAATGGGGCGGGGTGATGGAAAGCGGGAGAATGGGGCGGGGTGATGGAAAGCGGGAGAATGGGGCGGGGTGATGGAAAGCGGGAGAATGGGGCGGGGTGATGGAAAGCGGGAGAATGGGGCGGGGTGATGGAAAGCGGGAGAATGGGGCGGGTGATGGAAAGCGGGAGAATGGGGCGGGGTGATGGAAAGCGGGAGAATTGGGCGGGGTGATGGAAAGCGGGAGAATGGGGCGGGTGATGGAAAGCGGGAGAATGGGGCGGGGTGATGGAAAGCGGGAGAATGGGGCGGGGTGATGGAAAGCGGAGAATGGGGCGGGGTGATGGAAAGCGGGAGAATGGGGCGGGTGATGGAAAGTGGGAGAATGGGGCGGGGTGATGGAAAGCGGGAGAATGGGGCGGGTGATGGAAAGTGGGAGAATGGGGCGGGGTGATGGAAAGCGGGAGAATGGGGCGGGTGATGGAAAGCGGGAGAATGGGGCGGGTGATGGAAAGCGGGAGAATGGGGCGGGGTGATGGAAAGCGGGAGAATGGGGCGGGGTGATGGAAAGCGGGAGAATGGGGCGGGGTGATGGAAAGCGGGAGAATGGGGCGGGGTGGTGGAAAGCGGGAGAATGGGGCGGGGTGATGGAAAGTGGGAGAATGGGGCGGGGTGATGGAAAGCGGGAGAATGGGGCGGGTGATGGAAAGCGGGAGAATGGGGCGGGTGATGGAAAGCGGGAGAATGGGGCGGGTGATGGAAAGCGGGAGAATGGGGCGGGGTGATGGAAAGAGGGAGAATGGGGCGGGGTGATGGAAAGCGGGAGAATGGGGCGGGGTGATGGAAAGCGGGAGAATGGGGCGGGGTGATGGAAAGCGGGAGAATGGGGCGGGTGATGGAAAGCGGGAGAATGGGGCGGGTGATGGAAAGCGGGAGAATGGGGCGGGGTGATGGAAAGCGGGAGAATGGGGCGGGGTGATGGAAAGCGGGAGAATGGGGCGGGGTGATGGAAAGCGGGAGAATGGGGCGGGGTGATGGGAAGAAATGGGGCGGGGTGATGGAAAGCGGGAGAATGGGGCGGGGTGATGGAAAGAGGGAGAATGGGGCAAGGTGATGGAAAGCGGGAGAATGGGTCGGGGTGATGGAAAGCGGGAGAATGGGGCGGGGTGATGGAAAGCGGGAGAATGGGGCGGGGTGATGGAAAGCGGGAGAATGGGGCGGGGTGATGGAAAGCGGGAGAATGGGGCGGGGTGATGGAAAGCGGGAGAAAGGGGCGGGGTGATGGAAAGCGGGAGAATGGGGCGGGGTGATGGAAAGCGGGAGAATGGGGGGGTGATGGGAGAATGGGGC